ACTCCAGGATCATGACCTGAGCCGAAGGCAGTGGCTTAACCAACTGAGCCACCCAGGCGTCCCATAACATCTGAGAATTTTAAAGAGAAAGAATACATTCTCCTTCCCCATCTCCCAGAAGAGGCAGTGTTAAGATGAAAATTTTTTAGTTTGTTTAAACTGTTAAAATGGTGGTGGAGGGGCGCCTGGGTAGCTCAGTTGTTAAGCATCTGCCTTTGGCTCAGGTCATGGTCCCAGGGTCCTGGGATCGAGCCCCACATCAGGCTCCTTGCTCGGCAAGAAGCCTGCTTCTCCCTCTCCACTCCCCCTGCTTGTGTTCCCTTTCTCTCTGTGTCTCTCTCTGTCAAATAAATAAATAAAATCTTAAAATAAAATGGTGGTGGAAATATGATGATGAGGGGACTAGGCATAGGTAGACTTCTGAGAAAGTGTTTATTTGTCCCCCTCCAGATTTGATTACCTTTTAGAAGGACTGAGCCACCTAGGTGCACCCAGATAGTATTCTTTATTGGCATTTGGCAAGGTGTGAGTGAGTCTATATTTGACAGTTATCATGGACGCTTTCTTTTAGCAGTGTGAAACTTGGGGTATCTAACATAATCCTCAAATCATGTAGCAGACTGAAGAACTTTTTTGTTTCTTTTTTCCCCAAGACTGAGGAACTTTTCAATACAAATTTTAATACCAGACCTTTGTTCAAATTACAGCCTGCAACTGACTAGTTAGCTGTGCGATGCTGGGCATTTGCTTAACTTCTCTGAAGAATAGCAGTTTCTATATCTGAAGATGGGGGTGGTAATTCCCATCTCTTGGGGTTGCTGTGAAGATTAAATGATAGAACCTCAGGCTTACTATACTACCTGACCTAAAATAAGGATTTAATTTATAAATTAACTTTTTTATAAAGGTAAATTAACTTTTTACTAAAGTAAAACTAGATTTCTAACAGTTTGTAGCATGATAAGCAGTTTTACTTTTATTGATGATACATGCATGAAGTTGCCCCTGTAGTTCAACTACAAATGAAAATGATGATGTGAGCATGTAACATTCAGATGTTTTCCATAAGATTATAGAAAATGGGCAATATTGGTTGTACAGTAAGCTATAAGGTCTACAGTTAAAAGATTTAGACATTAAAATTTAATTGTAATTTATTTAGGGTCCCGTTGTGGTATTTTAATGAAAATAATACATATTTTTTACCTTTCTTTACTTTTAGTATCGTCACCCCTGTGAGTAAATTACATTTTCGTGTGTGGAGTCACCAGACACTGAAATCTGATGTTTTGTTGGGAACTGCTGCATTAGATATCTTTGAAACCTTAAAGTCAAACAACATGAAACGTATGTATATAAAAGTAAAAGAAATTGTGCTAGGCTATTTGTTTTTCTATATAAAATTCATGTGAAAAGATATGGAATGACTATGTTCAGTATTTGTTTTTAAATTTACTTGGTTATAGTATTAATAAGGAGAAGAATCTTGAACTATTAAAGCATTCTGAGTAACCTTGTTTTAGCCATTCATTTTGACCCAATATTTTTAATAAATTTAATAAATAGGTACTTATTAAAATACAACATGCTCAATTATGGAAAACTAAAAAATATAGAGCAGAGGTGAAGGAAAAATGTAACCCCATTTCAGAGACAAATAGGGTTAATATTTTGGCAGATTTTCTTTTCAAATACTTATTTTTAAAATTTCCTAATTTAAGTGGCTGTGGGTTTTTTTGTGTGTGTATATATAACATATAGATATAATAAGCTTGAAACATGTTTGTTTTGATTAATATCATGATTTTAAAACATAGATATTTTGGGGGCACCTGGGTGGCTCAGTCGTTAAACGTCTGCCTTCGGCTCAGGTCATGATCCCAGGGTCCTGGGATCGAGCCCCGCATTGGGCTCCCTGCTTCGCGGGAAGCCTGCTTCTCCCTCTCCCTGTCTCTCTCACCCTACTTGTGTTCCCTCTCTCACTGTGTCTCTCTTTGTCAAATAAATAAATAAAATCTTTTAAAAAAAATTAAACATAGATATTTTTCTACCCCTTGACTATCTAAAACGTACTTCCTAAATCTCATTTAAGATTTAAGAGATATAATCCATTCTTTTTTTTTTTTTTAAAGTAGGTTCCATGCCCAGCATGGAGCCCATCACAGGGCTTGAATTCAGAACCCTGAGCTTAAGACCTTAGCCGAGATCAAGAGTTGAAAGCTTGACCAACTGAGCAACTCAGGCGCTCCTGAGATATAATCCATTCTTTTTTTTTATAATTTTTTTCTTTTAAAGATTTTATTTATTTATTTGAGAGAGAGAGAATGAGAGAGAACACATGAGAAGGGGATAGGGTCAGAGGGCAAAGCAGACTCCCCGCCGAGCAGGGAGCCCGATGCAGGACTCGATCCAGGGACTCCAGGATCATGACCTGAGCCGAAGGCAGTCGCTTAACCAACTGAGCCACCCAGGCGCCCTAATCCATTCTTAAGTTACATGTTTTCACTCAATAAAATTCAGGCATATGTTGCTGAATAATCCTGCTGGCGTATTTTATGCAAGGATGGAATGAATATAACAAATGAGATGATTGAGCTAGTTAGTTTTTTACATTATGGATATTAAGCATTAGCAAAAATGTTTTGTGTCAAAAGGCCTCAATGAAGTATACTAAAAAATTATAAACACATAAATACTGTTTTTCTGACATTGTTTTTAAGACTTAAGATGACTTAAAGAAAAAAAAGTGACCATTTTGTTCTGTAATTATATTTTTTTACAGTTGAGGAAGTAGTTATGACTTTACAGCTTGTAGGTGACAAAGAGCCAACAGAGACAATAGGAGACTTGTCAGTTTGTCTTGATGGGCTGCAGTTAGAGTCTGAAGTTGTTACCAATGGTGAAACTACAGGTTCAGAAAGTAAGTAATCACTTTTTGTATAGGCTCTTTAATGATTCTTCTTAACAGTAGCCACCAAAGAATGCTGATGTAATTACTGCTATTCTTTTTCATCTTAAAGAAATTATTTCCTTTTTAAAAAGAGACATTGATAATTTTAATCATTTTCCTTTTAGTGCATTGTTTCTGTGAATAAAACATTTTTCTATAAGTTGAAAAGCTAGCCACGTAAAAGTTGCATCAGAGCTGACTGTGTAATGAATTGATTCATAAAGTATTTATTTGGTAGGCCAGTGATGAGAGTTAATGTGGCTTATGATGCCACATCCTCTCCAGTGTCAATGGCAGACATAGTTTGCCTGTAGCAGTGTCTGGTTGAGTTTAAATTTGACTTGAAATCCTGCTTAGTACTTGGTAATCCTATTTAGTACTGTACCAGACTGCCAGTACAAGCTGAAGTCCATTTGCCATCCTTTGCCATTTCTGTAGTTTACATTTATAAAGGTGTCTTTGTGTTACAATAATAACAAAATCAATTCATTATATGTATGCCAATATATCTTACAGTTTATGATTAATAGTTTATGTTAAAGGGAATAATAAACATGAAACATGAACTGTAGTTGAAAGAAGTTTGACACCTGAATTAGTGCCTGTATAGCTAGCATGCTTAATAAAACTACTTAGTGGATTCCTTTTAGATACTTCATCACTTACTAATGTGCTAAGTGTATTTTCACTTGAAATCTACATTTCAAGTGAAACTTAGAGGCCCCAAGACAAAGAGCAGATTAATGGTTTCCTTGATTAGTCTGACGAAGTTTTTGTTTATTTAGAAACTGCATTATTTAGAAACATTTAGTTGTCAGGTGTTGTTATTCTGTTTCTGCTTTGGAAGACTTCCTACTTCTTTAACTTACGACTTTTTTTTTTTTTTAAGATTTTATTTATTCATTTGAGACAGAGAGATAGAGAAAGAGCATGAGCAGGGGGATAGGGACAGAGGGAGAGAGAGAAGCAGACTCCCTGCCGAGCAGGGAGCCCGATGTGGGGCTTGATCCCAGGACCCCAGGACCGTGACCTGAGCTGAAGGCAGATGCTTAACCATCTGAGCCACCCAGGCGCCCCAACTTAACCTCTTTTTTAATAGCAGGACCGTCAAGATAGTCCCAGTGTATCTTCCAGATTGGTTCTTTGAGGTTAATGAGGGTGGAGAGAAATTTCTGAAATGGTCATACTGTACTACTTCAGAGTTGATGAGTTCATTTTAATTGACTGCCATTCACAGGAACTTTGGTCAAATTTTTCCATAAATCAGAATTCTGGAAGATAATATATAAGTTAAATTTCATTGTTAAATTGTTCTAAACTCAGTATTTATAGCTTCCCAAGTTTTTTACACCCTACAAGTTGAAACTATTACTAATGCATAATATTTAATAATTAACAAATCATGTTAGTCTTCATTTTTCAGAGTAGAATCTAAACTGCATATTTATACTTAAGACTTTACTGTTTATTGCCCACAGAAGTGAACATTTCTGTGTCACCAATTTTCCACTCAGGTAGGAAAATAATTGATAGAATTTAACCTGATATTTTGAAGTAGAAAGAGGTTTTTAACTGGAAAGTCACAGTGGTTGCCAGATAAAATAGCTGCCATTTTTTGAATGCTTGCCATGTGCCAACCACTATGTTGGTGTGTTTACATATACACTCATTTAACCATCATAGATTTGTAAGGCAAAACCTATATTTTGCATATAAGGTAAGTGAGGTTCTGATAATTCAAATAGTAAGTCCAGTATCATACCAACTGCTATGATGCAGAGTCAAGACTGAGACACAAATGTTTATTGATGTTTCCTATTCTTTCCAGTATATTATTGGTTTCACTCTTAAAAACCTAGAAACTTTGAATCAAATCATGAGTTGTAAGCAAACAAAATCCAGTTGAATGCACAAGCATGTGTGGTGGGAACTACACTTGTATTGTTCTTTGGTTCCATTTCTGTAACTTTAACTACAGGCTAGAAATGAAAATTAGAGTTTAGTACGAAAATTGAATTTCTAGCACCTGCAGTTACTTGGTTGGATAAGAACTGGGGGGGATGAGGGAGATTGCTTTTGTATTCCAATAATTTTCTATTGTTAAAGATTTTTAGATGTTTTTGCCCTAAGGATGTTAGTCAGAAGTTTGTTTTTTTGTTTTGTTTTGTTTATTTTTATTTTTATTTTAAGATTTTTTATTTATTTGACGGAGAGAGACACAGCAAGAGAGGGAACACAAGCAGGGGGAGTGGGAGAGGGAGAAGCAGGCTTCCGGCTGAGCAGGGAGCCCGATGCGGGGCTCGATCCCAGGATTCTGGGATCATGGCCTGAGCCGAAGGCAGACGCTTAACGACTGAGCCACCCAGGTGCCCCTGTTTTGTTTTTTTTAAAGAAAGATTTTATTTTTAAGTAATGTCTACACCCAACATGGGGCTTGAACTTACAACCCTGAGATCAAGAATCACATGCTCTATTAACTGACTGAGTCAGCCAGGAGCCTCAGTTAGAAGTTTTTTTGTGGAAGAACACGTAGGATGGTTCCTAGAAGAAATTTGTTCTTGTAGATGTAAATATTTTTGGTTAAGTTTTAAATGATATTTATTTATTTATTTATCTATTTATTTATTTATTTAAAGATTTTATTTATTTATTTGACAGAGAGAGAGACAGCTAGAGAGGGAACACAAGCAGGGGTAGTGGGAGAGGGAGAAGCAGGCTTCCCGCGGAG